TCTTGATTCCATCACTTCAAAATAGTGTCCTGGAAGACACTCAATATTCATGACATCAAGTGCTTTCAAAGCATGACTACACAATATACTAACTCCTTCAAATTGCCCACAACTATATAGAACTTTTTGCTCTTCATCAACTACAACTTTGCATTCTTCTTCATAAGAGCATTTCGGGTCAAGACTGGCAATTGCAACAGTATATATATTGTGTTCCTTTGATGGCTTGATGTACGCAAGATGGATCTTTCATATTCATTCTGAAAATCTTCAAATATGCAAGGTGTGTAAACTTTTCTTGCTTGTATTATTGTAGGAGTTCTTAACTCTAGGGTTTTTTTTCTAGACTCATATTCCTCATTTAGCTCTTTGTCTCTCTTTCCTTGCACAACCCTCTCTAGGTGCTTGAAAAAATTAAGAATGTCAAGATCAGATTTCAAATGGTCCTTTAAGTCACTGTTCAAGCTCACGGTTAATTGTGTGCTTCTCGTTAGCGTACACATTCTTCATGTAACATCTTGCCCATTTCTCTTTTACTTTATAGATACTGTCCAACCAAGTATGTGTATCCACATTGATTCTTTTACTGAAAAAGGCTTTCGTCCCGCTTTATATAAAGAAACGACCATCGACAACATGATACAAACACGCGCCACTCGAACACACACACACATCCAAGACCAGATACATAGGATCTAAGCACAGCAACACCACCCCCTACCCCTACAAGAGCTACCAGGGTCCTTAACCGTGAACACGCCACTGTGAGGAGACGAAGCCGCATACGACGAACCGTGAGATCCAAGGCAGCGCCTTCAGGAAGGTCATGGCACACGAGTGCCGCCACCGCCCGATCCGAGGATTAGGGTTTCCCCTGGAGCAACATGACAGGCGATGAGAGCCGCGGCGACGCCTTCAAGAAGTGGATAAAAATCACCACCGCTAGTCTTCCACGTTTCCACCTCACCACACCATTTGTTACTATTGGACAAATTCCTTTTGTCTTTTTCTTCTTGTTCTTTGCCATAACGCCCATTCTGGGACGAGTTGGAAGAGGAATTCTAAAATATTACACGGATGAGACTCATCGCACCGGATTCTTTTCTCCTTTTGGCCATAGCCATAGAAGAAGCTGCTCCTTCAAAGCGAAGGGAGGGGAATCTATTGATTCCTATAACCCTGCTTATATAACGTTTTTAAGACAACATTTAGGGTTTTTCCCGGGTTTGGTACCAAATCTGGATAACCACCAGCATATGGTACTACTGCCACCGAACGTCGCACCCGGCCACCACGCCGCCCACACAGACATGGCAACCGAGAAGCACCAGAGCCACGGGTTCTGCCCACAAGCCCGCGCTGCCACCACCAGAGCCGCCACCCCGGCATCCAAGACCGCCCCACCACCTGCATCATGATCCACCGGCGCTGCTGCCAGCAAAGTGCTACCTTTGGGAAAAGTACACGGCCTAGCCGACAGGAGCGGGGAGGGGAAGGTCACCGGTGGTTGCCGGCCAAGCCACAGCCACCTCGCCATTTCTCAAACTTGGTCCGGACCACCGTCACCACCCCCAGCGACAGCAAGACCCGTATAGGCACCCCTGCAATCTCCCTGGAGCGCCCTTGGCCCCGTGGCCAGCGAAATAGGAGACGCATCGAGCCGTCGTGCACCACCTGTCGGGCGTGCCTTCAACCGCCAAACCGAGCATCCCATGAGGCAGGAGGAGAGGGTCGAATCTCCGCCACCGCGCCGCCACCCTGACCAGCCGAGATGGCCCCAGTCGAGGTAGCCGCCCCCGGCCCGCGCCACCGCGAGCTCAGATCTAGCTAGGCCGCCGCGACCACCGTCCCCGACCCCCGGCCGACGCCACCACCTCCCACCTCCACCAGCCAAGACGGCCATGGCAGAGGTGGCTGCTTGCAGACCGCGTCGCCCTCGGCCCGCGCCATCCATCGGGCCAGATCCAGCCGAGGTCGCCGCATCCAGCCCCTGAGCATGCCCCGCCACCTAACAGCCCGTCACGCTCCAGCCAGCCCCGTGCCATCACTGCGCCGCCCAGCCGCCGCGCCCCACGCCCGCGCGGCGTCCCGGCCCGTCGGCGCAAGCTCCTCTGAGCGGGGGACGAGGAAGCCCCGGCGCCGATCGGGCTTTGCCCGACCATGCCCTCTGGCGGCAGCGAGGAAGGAGGGAGGAGGAGATGCCCGGCGGCGAGATCTAGGGATTCCTCCCTGTCGCCACGAGTGGGCTAAGGGATGAGGAAGAGGTGGACGAGTTGTCTCTTTCCCGTAGCCCCCGTTTGTAGTATTTTCAAGTTCCTCCACATTGATTCTTCGAAGGCTTCCTCTTCCTCATACTTGTACATGCAAGCACTGAAATCAGCAAGTACATTTGGTCCATCCTGTTCTTTTTCTTAGGAGGTAAATGTTTGATGGCATTTTGCATTATGGGAAAAGTGCACAATCCATGTCGTGCTTCCGTGAATACCGCCTGAATTGCATTACCCATTGCCACGTCTTGGTCAGTAAAGTGGAATACCGTGAATAAGCAAGCATTAGCAGCATCGTTGGGAGGCAATTACGTCCCCACGTGATAAAGTTGCCCCTAATATTCCAGTGAAGGCGGTTATTTTCGCTATGGAGGTGGCTGGAATTTAAAACCGTCTGTTATAATAAAAGAAATTGAGGGGGTTGGAAAACCACTTGTTTGGTGGAGCACCTATCAGTTATATTTAGTGCCTGTTCGACAACGGACCGTTCCAACTACTCCGCTCTGCTCAGCGCTGGAATGCGAAACGACAAAATAGCAGCTCCGCGAAAATGAACTGCGCTCTGCTCCGCCACTCCAACTCCGCGGAGTTGGGAGCCGGAACGTTCCCAAACGGGCCCTTACAAACCACCTGTGTGGTGGAGCACCTATCAGTTATATTTACCTTTGCCACCATTCCCACTTTTAGTCACCCCCAAATCTCGGATCTTTGGCTCAGCCAGGCCGTGAGCACTCGCCATGTTACGCATTCCCGTGGTGTGTGTCCATGCTCGGCGCCGTGCTACGTCTTTCCGTGGTGTGTGCCATGCTCGAAAGGTGTCTTTTTAAGATACCATCTGTCCATCAAGACTAACCTCCTCCTCACGTCTAATAGTACTGAAACTGCACCTCATGTATTCAGGTTTAATTCTACTAAGCCAACCAGTGAAGCTTTTTATAATTCCAACCGCCAATATGTTAGCATTTTTATAAACTAAATCTCAAAAGAAAATCACTGAAGCTTTTTTAATAATCATCACCAGATTCTAAAAATGGCATTTATGAAGAAAAGTTGCCAATTGGTATTAATTAGGGAAACCCTTCCCATCAGTAGTGCAGTGCCAATCCACATATTCCTGGACAATGAACTACTATGTATTTCACACAATGAGCTACTATGGATTACACGTTTACAACACAGGTGACACGGTACATTTATATTTCGTGCCAGTGCAGTGCAAATACAGCTACAGTTACACAGTAGCCAAGCCACCAGCAGGTAGACGCAATGACTCCCAGCAGGTTTCGGCCACCAGCAAGATATGCATACATCATGAAAAAAATGGGTGCAAAACCTAAGAAGACATGTCAATCAAAGGTCTGTAGTGTCACAGGAAGATACATCACATCTTTTAACAAAATCCTTGCCAATGTCCTCCTAAACTTGCATGCCAATGTCCTCCTAAACTTGCATGCTGAAGAGTCGCTTACTCTGAGAGTGTCATTTCTTTGAGCTGATTAAACTCGCAGCTTCGAGACAAAGCTCAACCTGGAAAGGAAAAGAAATACTTGTCGGGAATCAAAACAAACTTGACCGCGTCGTGGACTTATCAAGTGAATTTTTAAAACTATAATAGTGAAAAACTAGACCCACAAAAGACAGCCATGTGCAGGCGTGTAAACGTACACAGGAAGGCATAACAACAGAGACCATAAATGTCGCCCGGGTATAGTTAATTTGGGTTAATACCCGAACCAGATAAGGTATAGGACAGCAGCTAAATTGACGTCCAAAGCATGCATGCTAGTGGAAGCATTGCTGCTAGCTAGGTCTGCCAGCTTAATTGTTTTCTGACTAAGTTAACAGTGTTGAACTGTTGATTCTCACTGACATATCAAAAGAACCACTTTTTCATTTCGAGAAGGAAAGAACTAAGTTCGACATGCAGGGATGCAGGGAATCACGTCACTTTAAGAACATCTTAAAAGGGAAAATGAACATGAAGCAGAAAAAAATGATACCAACTCGAAACTACTTCACGTACGATAGTCTAACATCCGATTTTCATATGACGACTATTCCAACGATGCTGCTCCATTGAATGGACATGATGAAAGGCTGTGTTAAGTTGTTGTACAAAAATCATACTAATAGTGTCATACATGTAGCAAGGTTCATACCAAATTAAGCAGTGATGGCGATCTCGTCTCCTAGCTCAGCTGCTCTTCTTGTATGTGCTTTCGTCCGTGTTCCTTGTGTTCATCCGCTGGCCGGTTGACTACACAAACGGAAGGAAGATGGAATCACCCTTGGTGAAATTTATACAACATACTACTTGAACAGAGCAACATGGCAGAGCAGATAAAATGTAGGAGCACTTGCCCCAGGCAACCTGCAGGTCAACAACTAATTTGCAGGACAGTCAACCACTATGATATGCAAAATTCAGCACACACCCATCATTTGAACTGTCACATACAACACTCACTCACTGCCATCATGTTTGCATATTCTTCATGTTAGAGTTTAGACAGTCAAACTACGCCTTCTTTTTGAAGTCAAAGGGAGTAGGTGCATGTATCATTCAGCTTACTTTTCTACAAGTAATTTAACATGTCACACACTCAACAAGGGACACAACGGTTCCACCAATATTAACTAATGAGCACCATAGCAGAAGAAGGAACTAAGAAGGGAACTGCGACATGAGGCACAATTGACATTTGACAAGAGCACAGAATAAAGAATACCAAATTACTTCAGTGGAGAGGAAACATGCACTTTCTCCTTTCCTCGATCGGTGTACTGTTGTCGGTGTGCTTCCTGCTCCTTGTTTCCATCTCCTGAACCAGATACAATTGCTGCTGTTTCTTGTTCCTCCTCTGCAGCCTTTGTGTGAACTAACCAAGCAGACGAAACATGGAATCAACAGGATAGGGTGGAACAAATAAATTAAAGCAAACATTCGAACAAATACATTAAGAGTGGTGTTAATTTTACCTCCAGATTTAATGAAGTGCTGGGACAGTGAATCCCTCGTCCTGATGGCGTTCTCATCTGCTACCCGCCGCACTTGCTTGATGTAATTCTCCTGATTGATTGGCATGCCTACACCCTCCTTCTCTTCCTCCCTGTCTATCACTATATTATGCAACATGCAGCATGCATAGATTGTTTCAAAAGGTGGACATGAGCCAACCGCTCTGTCCAGGATCTTCCAAGTGTCTTTCAACCTAGTCAATGCAGCCAGCGTGACGGTTGATGCTGAAGCGTGTCTCCTGTTGAACTCGGCTTGATAAGGAGAAAAATCTGCAGACAGGTCCTTGTCTTGCAGATGGTAAGGTGTGAGGAGCCAGGGGAGAAGAGGGTATCCTGCATCACCAATGATGTATTCCCCGATTTCCGAGCCATCTGATAACTTCATCTTACTGCCATTCAGTGCAGTACCCTCCTGGCTGGACTTGAAGAGCCAAGAGTCATACAAAAGACTCAATTGGTTCATGCTACCTGACGGCCCCAACCAAATGAATGAGAACCTAAAATCTGGATCAACGACAACTTGCATTAGCATGCCGACATTTTCCTCATGGCCATTGTTTTGTGATCCAAATGTGATATGAGCTGTATGTACAGCACCGCAACAGTTTGGCAAGCCATGTATCTTGTCGAACTTGCTCTTGATCTTCTCCAGTTTAGCGGAGCCAGGCCAGCTTATGTGGTGAAATGCTCGCACCCACGATCCAACAAACCTCTGAGTTACCAGCGAGACGGTTGACTCGTCCACACCAAGAGAATATCCCACGGTAGCCGGTGGCTCACCACAGTTCAGCATTCTCAGAGCAATGGCTACTCGATCCTGTAAAGACAGCACTCTCCCATCAACAAATTTGTGATCCCTTGCCATCATATCTTCCAGAAATGGCACCCTCACCAAGCTGCATATGTAACTAAAGGTACTTCTTCTCATTTTATACACCAACTCAAATCCTTGTGCGTCCACCATACAAGATGATAAGGTTTCTGCATGGAAAGGAAAAATACAAAGCTGGTCACATAATCTCTCATTTGCAAGACAAGAACTAACATACTATTCTTGATTTGTTGAACATGCGGTAAGCTAGCGGAATAAGTAAAAAAGAGAAATACTTAGCAATATATACGAATCAGAGAGTAGCCATTAAACAACTCACACTGACAGCTAGTGTTGTGGCTAAAACATAAATTGCGTGTCTAAAACAATTGGACAACCATGTATATATATCATCAGAAATGACATAATCATGTGAAACAAAAATACGTATGAAATATATTCAGCCATCATGCAGGAGATAAAATCAAATGAACTTATAAACTGGCAGAGTCGGAGTGCTAAAAAAACTAAAACAAAGCTCATTTATTTGATTTTCCCTCCTCTGCAGCCATATTCAATGGAATCAGTAGGTATGTTATTTACCTCCATTTTCGATCAAGTGCTGGGACAGTGCATCCCTCGCCCTGACGCCGTCCTCTTCTGCAACCTGCCGCACTTGCTTGATGTAATTCTCCTCCTGATTGCTTGGCATGCCTGCACCCTCGTCCATCTCCATGTCTATCAGTATGTTATGCAAAATGACGCATGTGCCGGTTGTCCAGCACATGTCACGTTTATTATTTGGATGCCACCCTTCTCCCTGCAGGCACTTCCATGTGTCCTTCAACCTTGCCAGCGCCCTCAGCGCGACGGCTGTAGCTGCAGAGTGTCTCCTGTTGAATTCCACTTTGGAGTCCGAGTCTGAGAGATCATTCTCCAACTGGTAAGGTGTGAGGAGCCAGGGACGAAGAGGATATCCTGCATCACCAATTATGTATTCCCCGACTTCTAATCCACCACCTGATGTTACCTTCAGCTTGTTACCATTCAGGCAAGTACCCTTCTCGCCCATCTTGAAAAGATCAGAGTCGTGCAAAACGCTCAATTTGTTCATGATGCTACCTGACAGCACCAAACAAATGTTTGTGAACCTCATATCTGGATCAATGAGAGCTTGCATTAGGATGCCGTCATTCTCCTCATGGTCACGGTTCTGTGTTCCAAATTTGATGTGGGCTGTATGTACAACACCACAGCAGTTTGGGAGGCCGTGGATCTTATCAAACATGCGCTTTATTTTCTCCATTTTAGCGGAGCCTGGCCAACACAAGTAGTGCATTGCTCGCTCGCACATAGCTTCAACAAACACCTGAGTTACCAGCGAGACAGTTGTCTCGTTCACACCAAGGGATAGTCCTACGGTAACAGGTGACACACCAGAATTCAGCATTACCAGGGCGACAGCTACTCGATCTTGTAAAGACAATACTCTCCCATCAACAAACGTGTGGTCCTTTGCCGTCATATCTTCCAAAAATGGCACCCTCACCAAGCTGCAGATATGACTAAAGGTACTTCTTTTCATTTTATACATAGACGTAAATCCATGTGTGTCCACCATAGAAGATGATAAGGTTTCTGCATGGAAAGAAAAATTCAGAACTAGTTACATAATCTCTATTCGCAAGGGGAGAGCGAACATATTACACTAGACGTGCTCTACATCTAGCGGCCTGCCCCGTCCTCACTATTGCAACAAAGACAGTGTTGCAGAACCCTTTGCAACACAGCTCCTGTTGCAGAAACATTTGCAACAGAGGAGGTGTTGCAGAATTTTTTTAGAACATAGGTTATGTTGCAGATTATTTTTTCCCCTCTTCACTTTTTTGCAACATAGGCACTGTTGCAAAACAGACGATGTTGTACAAAATTTTGCAATGGAGATGGTGTATAAACATGTTTGTCATTGACTCCGGGATTGTGCTGGTTGTTCACATGTCGTTGGTGGGCACTGATGACCATTGCGGTGGATGGGCTGGGCTGGTAGATCTCTCCGTCCCTGGCCGAATTAGTGCGGTGGGCGGCGACGGGGTTGTGATGGACGACACGCGGTGGCTGGGGAGGGGAGGGTCCCAATGCGACATGGGGATGGGGCAGTGAGCGGGGGGTGCTGGTAGATGGCTGCAGCTTTGCCCCTCTCCCCGAGCTCGCAGCAGACAACAAGCTTTCCAGCAGCTAGATCTAACCATGGGCGCTCTCTCTGCTCACACACGGCAGACTATTTGGGTACATGCTTGGGGGAAAGCACATCCATGGGAGGACCTGGAAGTAGAAGATGAGGCTCAAGGGAAAACACGTGGCTGTCCTCTCTTAGTTTGAGATAAGAATGGGAGAGTGGTGGTGCGAG